ATCGGAGCGACTGAAACGTGAGGCGACCTAGTGCAACACATTCAGTTGCCTGAGAACATCACAAACGAGAGATTTAGCTGGTTTCCAGGTGAGTCTCTCGAATAAACCAAATTAGTTTGCAGATGAGTGCATATTCGCTAGGATAAAAAGTCTGATTGAAACTTTGAGTTTTGTACAACCGCTTATTTGAACTGGTAGGTGAAATCAGCTGATCAACAAGGAGAGCAAACTTCAGCTGACCAGTTTCGTCCAGAATGGTGGATTGTTGGTGATTGTTGGTGCATTGTTGGTGAGATGGGAAAATACCGAAGTGATCAAGATAACAAACAGATCCAAATCAAGTTGGATGCGATGATGCAATGACCTTTTTCACCTGTTTTGTTGGATTATGCTTAAAAGCTCTGCCTTGATGACCGTCCTGTAGTTTCACCATCTGGTCGAATACGAATATTTTTGAAGTCAAGAACGTCTTGGTCAACAGACGGACCTATTTGAGATGACAGTGTAACGCAGTTGAAACTCGACTGTAGCTGCTTGTACCTCTCTCATATGACCTTATACGTGCCTTTCCCTCTCTCTCTCCCTAATGCAGGTACCACGGACGAGCCACCATGAGCCCCGACAGGAAAGAGTAGCCTGCTTGTACTTCCCCTTAGCTTTGTACATAGGTGAACTGGGCAGAACCTCATTTGCGGTCAGAATAAGAGAACCAGCGTTATTCTACAGGCCTTACTTTATTCCGGTTACCGACTACTGATCCAGTGTGTACTGTTTGGTAACCATCTTCAAATCCGGAGAAAGGCAAAATTATGTTCCTCTGATTTTGCCATTCCAAATGAATGAGCACCCTAACGGAATCCTCGGCTTTTTTGGCCGACCAATGGTCACTCAATTGCTTACGGGATGCATGACAGTTTGTCTTGTCTCAGCATTTCGACTAAACAAGTTTTTAAACTACATCTAGAGCCATAAAATGAAGGTCAGCTTCGGAATAGCTACGCAATAGCCGTTATCTGATTTTAAGTTAAACTAAAAAGCTTCTACAAACATTGCGATTGGCTCACGCATTTGGAATTGCTTGCATACCTGTTGTGTTAGCAAAGTCCACTTGTTACTTGAAATTCCCAGGAGACTGGAAATCCTACCCTTCAAAGTTAGAACCGCATGTTTTTGGAAATTCAAGCCCGAGTAAGTATACAAGAGTACAAAGACCAGCTCCTGCTAGATCAAATTCGATCCTCTTAATCTGACGGCGCCCTCCATGGTAAAAGGCTTATTATCAGATATATTTTCATAAAAGAAACTATTCACAAGTTTGCTGAATACTCTTCGACAGCCAACGACCGGTTTCGCCCTTCTTGGGACTCATTAGCTAAGCGCAGTCCTCGAGTTTCCGTCAACCTCATGTTCTACTTGAACCCAAATCAAACTGTTTTGGAGGAATACACTAATTTGCAAATCAATTTGGTTTTCACGAGAGACTCAACTGAACCCCTCGTTTATGATATTCTACAACTGAATATGCTGCACACAGGCTGCCTCATGATACAGTTGGCACGATATTCGAGATATCGCAGCCTATTTTCATAAAGGAAACTAATCAAAATGTTGCTTATTATCAGGTTTAAATATATGGGGCAGTTACATCAATTCTACTGCTTCGGTTTTTTGTTCATTTCAAAAAATCTGAAATTATTTCCAACTGGCCGTAAGTTTATGTAGTTCCAATCTGTTGGGGCGATTCTATCTTGCATATCCCTTCTAAATGCGATATCAGAGCAAACTGCAGTGATGAAAATCCTGAATCAAGTAAATTGCAGTTTACAGTGATTAGTTGGGAGAGCGCGAAACGTTTTATTACACCGTAACCTGATCCTCTTTTCATAGAGAATTCAGTCCACACGAAGATAGGATCACCTACTTAGACCGTCCACATTTAATATTCTGAAAATATGTTTTGCCAACATTGTTCTTGCACGATAGCTTCCTTCATATGACTTACACAAGATACTACCTAGGCAACCGCTTTTTCGTGACATTCTACGTCTATAATGCGAAGGAGAATTAAGTGTTTCAGTTTTTTTCCAATTCGTAGGCCTCTTTTAGTTGTATGCTTTCAAACCATAAAAAAAACAAAGTTCGTTAATGGCCGGATAGCACTCACCACAGAGAACCTGGAGTGAAATCATTCATCCGCCTGGCGTATCTATCGAATATTGGCTTTTACCCCTAAAACTTGGTAAATAGTCTACGAGTTAATTACTTTCGATATGACTGTCATTGAGGATATATTGCTTCAGTTAATCTTCTTCAGGAGCGCCGTTCCTCACTACCGGAAGTTCAGAAATACAGTACATTTCTTACGCTCAAATAGTCTCAAAAGAACAACTTTTTCCATCATCTGGGCGTTTTTCCAACAGTTTCGCGGCATTTTGGGGGCCAGTGGCGTATGAGTACCACGCGAACTCACCTCCCGGTAGGAAGAAAACGGAATGGTTCATATCTTAAAATTTGTTTATAGAAAGAAAAATAATCCAGCCATCAACGTTAGTAGAGCTGGACTCTCGTTATCTAAGCATACACACGCACACACGAAATGATAGAATATCGGGGACAAACAGAGAACAACGGAAAGAAACATCACAGTCGAAAGCTAAAGACGATTGTTGAGCACAAATTAATCGGATGATGGATTGAAATGTTTACAGATGGCGATAACAATAACAGGATTGTAAAAGTGTGCGTCTGGAAATGACCGAGAAATCTTTTTGGTGGCACAGATTATCTAACTTTTTTAAATGCTTGCAACTGATCAGATTTTGAAATTTCGAAACCTCTTAAAATTCTAAAGGGAAACCGTCTTAGAATAAGGAGACCTAAGGATGAATAAACTTGACGTCCGTGATTACTGAACAAAAGTTATACAATATTCCAAAAGATTTGTGAAATGAACCATACAACTAAACCAATCAGGAACTTGGGATTCACGTGCGCAGCCGTACAAGTTGGGTAGCATAGAGAAGCCGATTGTACGGTCTGCGATGGTCGATAGATTGCTGTGAACCAATCAGATTTGTCGAATCGATTCCGCGTGGCCAACTGGACCTAGGATGGAAATAGCAATTTGAGAAGGCGTGGGATTGGTCTCCATATGCCCTTCGGCAGATTGAGAACAAATTATGAAATTGTGGGAACGAGATGTCCAAAACGAGCACTCTCAGGGTTACACCATGTATGATTGTGGGAAAATAAGGCGAAAATATGCTTTTTGAATAAAAATCGAACAGAACTCAGTAGATTTCTGTTGTGTTAAAAGACTAGGGGAATCTCATCCCTTCAGACGTCTGTAGAATAACTCTTAAGTTTATACAGCATGGTAGATACCGACAAACCAAATGGTTGACTTCTTTTAGAAATATCGATCAGTGTTACACTTAACGAGTACTACCGACTATTTATTTGCCTTGTGAGCAGCCCGTATTGAATTGTAAGAAAACACGCAAGTTGAGAAACGTTGACGAGTCACATTCGCGTTCAGACTCTTCAACATTTCCCCCACTTTCGGGACCAATTCCGGTCAACTTAGTTTTCTGGGGTTTCTCAGCTAGATCCTGTGAACACTTCATCTGTTTTGCTTGAACGATTCTACACGTAATGGAACATCCACAATAGAACCCAGTCCTGTTTTTAAACTACGATTTTGTAGAGGAGAGCATCCCAATGGGAGGAAAGGCATCCGTCACACCGCGAAACCCGAAACACGAATTGTGATATATCCAAGGACAGAATGAATGGAATGGGAGACGCTTCTACACATTTTTCAAACCATAACAATGCACGGAGAGGCTTAATCCGCAGGTAAAGAAAACTGGGACAACAAACAATGAGTAGGAATTTTTTTCGGTGGTCACTATGTGCACATGTCTGTCAGAATCATTTCCCCGTGTACCAAATGATCCGGTGCCTGCGATATTTTTTGGTCCGAACACCCTACGACTCTATTTTTCTAATGCACCACTCATAAGGTTGCTGAAAACCCTCGACAAACCACGACCGGTTTTGCCCATCTTGGGGCTCATCAGGTGATCTCAGTCCCCAAATTTACTTCAACATTATGTTCTGCTTGAGTCTATGAGTCTACCAAAAGTTTCTTCCTTCAAATCGCATAAACGAGTAAGACAATGAGACCGATTTTTTCTAGGTAACTGAACCACATGGCCGGCTGATTAGTCAGCCATTTTTAAGAAAACAGTTAAACGCATTTCCATTAGAAAATGGTAATACGTACAGGTATTCCGGAGGATTAGTGATAATGTTTGAGACAGTCAATAATAATCACCCAGGGGAAAACAAATGTGTGCATAGGCTTTTCAGATTGAACACATGTGCGGCACTTTCATGAACCCGATTCTGGTTAAAATTCATTTCACTGACAACCGAACCTCTACGCAATGGTTGCTTTTGGCAAACTGTTTAACATTTAGGCTCAAACAGACCATAAGATTGACGGAAACTTCGTGGATCCTCAAGAGCATCACTAGGAGAAAAGAAGTTCGGTCGTGGGCTGACGAAGTGACCTCGGCGAACTTTTGTAATTTGGTCCAGCTTGTATACTACTTGAGAACTTAAGTAACATCCAAAAGAGATAACAAAATAATGTAAGTGGTTGCAGTCTTTCCAATCTTTTCGCTTGTACCTTGGGTCATTTATTCGCTTTGACTTTTGCACCAAAGGGGAGAACGAACTCAAGTTTAACTCTTGTTGGGACTTATCGGCATCAAATGGCCCTCAGTATGCCGAGTTTGAACTCGAGACGTTGTATGTAGGGGCGAACGCGTTAACGTGTGCGACTAATCGGCGTTCGGTGCCTCAGGCGTACACTGCTAGAGTAACGGTAAACCGACCGCCTCGCACGTCCCATATCCTGGAAACCAAACCCCAGTTCAAGTAAAGATTTACTCTCCTGATGATTTCCAAAACCAACCGAAACTCGAGTGCAGAGCTCATTTTTTCTGTGGACGCGGCAGACTCAGCGCACCGGGATTTAAGTGTAAGAATTTACATCTTCCATGAAACTCAAGTGTATCTGTCAAAGTGAGATGAACATTTTTCGGCCAACCTGAGGATTGCCCGACAATTCATGTACCTTTTTCATAAAGGAAACTACTCACAAGGTTGCTGAAACTCCTCGACAGTCCACAACCGGTTTCGCCCTTCTTGGGGCCCATCAAGTAGGTGCAGTCTCCGAGTTACCCTCAATCTTATGCTCTACTTTGTTCTGACGTTTTATTGTGAATGATGCAAAAGAACCAGGAGCCTGTTGAAATAAAGCCTAGACAGTTTTTATGGAACAGCGAACAGGCTAGGTGGTCACGCACCCTCAGGACTGCATAAGCGCATGCCGGCAATTATCAATTTGGTAGTTCAAGTAAACCGATATCAACTATGCTTCTTCACTCTTGATTTTAATTCTCGTTCCTGCGTAATTTTGGGAATCAGGTGGAACCAAACCCTACTTTTTGCTCTCATCATTCGCAATCGGTCGCAACGTTGCCAGGAGACAGATTGTCTTAATGCGGACAAACGGCTTTGCAAATTTTTTACCGAATTCAACCTCCCCCTACTTTGTAATCATTGCCTTTTATCTCTAAAACTTGAATGTTTGTTGATTCATTTGATTTAGGGTGTAAAAATGACAACGTGTGGTCGTTTTTGTGTTCCGAGCATAAGACGATATTAGGAAGGGATGCCAGACCCTCTGTACATATTCCATTCCTCTTGGGGTTAAACTAAGCACAATGTTGCGTGACGCTCAGCTTTAGTTTGTGAGACTTCAATATAGTACATCAGTTATATGTTCCACCTACAGGTAAACGATAGCTCTTCAAAGGTGGGAAAATGCTTCATGGTTGTAAATTTGATAATAAACCGTTTCGCACAAAATTCCGGTTTATCACTCGAACCTAATGCACCCGATTGTGTAGGGTCGTTTCAGTTATAAGCTCAGCAAAAAAACGTTCGCCCAAGTTCTGTTGCCTGAAGTCCACAATTTTAAGGAACAATTTACCTCATAGTTATCCCCCGCATCTTCTACTGGAATCTCGCAGGGTATCGGCGTGTCGCCGGCCCATTTGATCCCAAGCTGCTCCTCGTCCGACCCCGCACTGTTCGCAGAATTTTCCGCCTTGTCCAGACCCATCAGATTTTGACATACTTGCATTTCTGTCCATTCGCCAACTCCAACTAGACTGCTTTTGCTCGGATCACTTTGATTCACCATGGTTTGTCGATAGCGCACGAGCAAATCGGAGAGTTCTGCACGCGCTCCACCGCCGTACGGACAGGGATCGGCCAAAAATACGGAAATGCGTAGAAAGTTATTGGTCGGCTTGTGGAAGAATACGTTCTAGAGAAAAAAGAGACAAACGGAAAACAACTTTGAAATAGCGCATGTGCGTTTACTAATGGAAGTCCCGTAAAGAGTTGTTTCGTACGCTTGCGAGGCTTCAGCGTAGAATACCGATGCTCACTACCAATGATGGCGACGTTGAAACGGTTGTCAAATTAAACTGTTCTACAAGCTTGACGTTTTTGTTTGTCTGTAATTCAGAGGAATATCACCACTGTTAGCGACCTGGTTCTGGAATACGTTTCTTTTCCAAAACGGAGAATTCAGTGAGTGATGGGGAAGTTTGATTTGTCGCAGGCTTGGGTCGGTTTTTACACCGCTGAATACTGTATCAGACCAAGGAGTGCTTCGTTGTCCAATGTTGCTCAGTCCCCACGGAGCTCAAATATAGAAAATTGAAAACAACAACAGTTGCCATGCAGTACGTTCATTGGTGTTCAGATGGTTCTAGAACTTTCCAACCGCGTAAACATGTCACGTAGGCAAATTAGAAATAAACTTCGATTTTTTGTCCGAGAACATGGTTGATAAACCTGGAGGGTTTTATTCCAAAAACAGCTTGATGGAAGAAAATCTGTATCACATGCCTCGACTGTGCCTGAAACATTTGATCCGTCTAACAGGCAAGTAGAGATTTTGCTCTTAGGCCGAACACTAGAATTCAACTACCATGCTCATTGAATCGACACGGTTGGTAACCTTTAAACGTTTCCCCAACCTGCTCACGTTGCACGCCATTGAAAGCAGTGTGTGGGGTACTGGGAACAAAACTCCACGCGTGGCCTGTCAACCAGAGAAAAAGCGGAAGCTGATGGGCTGTCAAACTGCCAAAAACGGAGTCTGCCACTTTGCAGACTCAGTACTCAGGGTACGGATGTTTCACCCTGGTTTCCAGGCTATTTCGAAGCGTCCGGTATGAATAAACTGTTGGCCTGGCGCACCGCGATGAGCGAGCCCATTTAAACTGATATCAGTTGTGTTTTTGCTTCAAGACCCATTCAAAACATAGATGCTCATGTGCAAATAGAATATCAAAGTTTCCAACGGTAGGTGGGCTTGGGGTCGCAGAAATCCACAGATATCTTGGAAGAACAACTAGCCTAGACCGCAGTGTGACATCCTTGGCATATATTCAAAGGTAAACTGTGCGAAGTTTACTGGTGATTCATGGGTTGGTAGGGAATAATACGCCATCAGTAATTTCGCGCTCTAACCACTTCGGTCGTCTCGCCCCCATGTCTAACACGACCGTCACCATGTGAATTACACGCTCGATGAGATCTTTTGAGTGCAATCTGGAAAATGATGGCGGCGGGTCACAATGGATAGTGAGCTTTTCGAAAATCTCACATGTTTTCCTAGACCGGTTTAACATGAAGTTGAGTATTTAGTTGTCTCATCTCTCCTCAAATGGACTGCTCAAGAGCAGCATATATTGAACGGCCCGTAAGCGATCATCTCGTCGATCTGGTACGAATAAACTGTTAGCCTGGCGCACCGCGTTGAACGAGCCAATTTAAACCGATATCGGTTATGTTTTTGCTTCAAGACCCATTCAACACACAGATGCTCATGTGGAAATAGCATATCAAAGTTTCCAAAGGTAGGTGGGCTTAGGGTCGCGGAAATCCACAGATATCTTGGAAGAACAACTAACCTAGACCGCAGTGTGACATCCTTGGCATATATTCAAAGGTAAACTGTGCGAAGTTTACTGGTGATTCATGGGTTGGTAGGGAATAATACGCCACTGAATGTGAAAGAACATACAATAAATGCATTGCTGTACCATTACCAATCATGTCAGAACAGGAAACTTGGTCACGTTGAGTCATTCTAGAGGAGCACGACCAACCTCGTAAGATTGACCTCACTGTGTTTAACACAGAGGACTGCTTGTCAGTTACTACACCTCGAATTTTCTGCTAGCTATCTCTGTGGTTTCTGATTTTGATGACGGATGCATAGCACTTGAGGAGCCTCAAGTGCGAAAGATCTCACGAGTATTGTAGTTGACCCGGTTTCTCATGTTTTGTAATGAGTCTGATCACATTATTCAAACTTCACTGATTACTCTGGCTCCGAGATTGATACATCAGTGTGAGAGGGCGGTCGTGGCGAAACAGCTGAGTGTTCAAACTACTAGATCGAAGGTCACGGGTTCAAAAGTTCAAGGAGTGTTGTGAGATGTGTCCTGCTGATGATTTACAAACAGGATCTAACATATTTGCAGTACTTCCTGGCTTTTCGACCAGCTGCACGTACAGGACGAAATCCGAATCGATACATCTTCAAGTCTTCTCGGACTAACAACACTACAAATGGAATAATTGAGGCAGCAGTTTCACACAACTGATATATTCCATCTGTACAGGAAGGTTTTTTATACTCGGGAATTCAATCCTTAGTTCAAATTCAAATTTGAACTCTAGAGATATGCTGTAGCTGACTACATTAATTAGACTGAGGTGGAAAATAAAAACATACTACTCGCATGCCCCCCAATCAATACTATCACCGTTTCACTGGTTGGTGGCCGCTTATACAGAAAAATTTCAGAAAACGACCCACCAACAAACCCAGGATGTTACTTGGGAGGAAGCCTTCCAGGGAATCATCGGTATGCAATTAATTAAAAAATAACAATCAGTGGTTGAATAAAACACAATGAATGGAAAAGTAAAACGTTCGCTTTAAACTCTCGTTCGTTTTTAAACTCTCGTTAGCTGGGATGTGTCCGCTCACGGATGTGTACATGTCGTGCAACTCTATGCGGTCAGGATTCCTTGCTGAGTATCAGAAGACGTCTGGCGGGAATTTGCTTCCCTCGTCTTTGAAAAAGGTTTTATCCGCAGAAGATCGGACATACTGGATCGCAGTCTCATTTTAGCAAGCTACACTGTTGTTTTGTGATTCAGGCAACGATATAGAAGTCGAAAACAGGTGGCACGACAAGGTCTGGATCCATAAGTCAGTTACCAAGGACCATGAAGTAAACAGCTGTTGCGAACCTACGTTACCTGTGGCGTAGGCGTGACATCAGCTTCTCTGTCAAGGGTCGAGTTTACAATGCTGCGGTGCGCTCCGTATTACAATATGGAT